GGTTTAGATCTTGGGTGTGTATCACAGCTTAGAAAACATATGTGCTTCTTGAAGAGCCAGTTGTCAGTCATATCAGATGGCATCCTGAGAGTGTATCGCTCACAACTCAGTTATAGATAAACAGCATGAGGTACATGGAAGCAAAGAATTACAAAGTCAGACGTGTCAAACTTTCTGCAGAAGAATAAAAATTGGGGGTGAGCAGGTTTAAAATAAATAAATAATATAATTTAGGGAAATCTTTCTTTTTAATCAATGTGTGCTAGAGAATAAACGCCTTTAGGATGAGGGCAGATCCTAATCCAAATTGTATAAAGTTCTACCATGTTACACTGCATTAAATACTACTTAATTCAACTGACTTGTATTATAATTAACATTTAAAAAAATATGCTAATAAGATCAGATATTACTATAAAATATAGACACTTTGACCACAAATTCATATTTAAAACGTCAGTGGAAAAGCATAAGTGCATGGTAATCTGATCGGATTTATTATGTGGATAAGGGTAAAGGATATTTGGAAATAGTTTAAAAAGCCCTCATGATGATCTCAGCTGAGGGTGGAGGATGTGTGGAGAGGAACCTGGTATTTTTTCCCTTTCTACTCTTCCTAACCGTGCTTTTCTCCTGCTACTACATGAAATGAATTGCAACCTTGTACTTCCAGGTTAAATGTTAACTCGGGTGGAAGCTCAAGATGCTCTATTTGGTCAGATTTAATACAACCACCTCTTTCAGTCTGATTGAGAGCTATCTGGGAAGGTTTTCACTATGAGTGTACAGCCTTCAGTTTATCTAACTATGCTTTTTAAAGCAGCAAAGTAACCACACTGCTCATTCTCCACCTTTAAACCCTTCAGACACCTGCTGCTGGCTCACTGCAGTGCTATCCATCCTCTGTACACAACGTACTCCCTGAACATGCCTCCCTGTGGCCATCTAACTGCTATTCCTTTATTCCATCTCAGCTTCTCTCAAAAGCCTTTCCCCAACTGTATCTCACTCTCCTCTCCTGCATGTTCCCATGGCACTAACACGGACCCCACATGCCCAGAGCTCCTCTTATATGCCAAGTGCTGCTGTTCAGTCACAAACCAGACAGACCTGACACCAGCTTCAAGGTCCGTATCATTTAGCTGGGAAGAAAGGCTTAAAGAATAAATCAGAAATAATTAACAAAATCACTAGAAGAGTCCAGAGTGCCTTAAAGGGAACAAAGGGGGGCACAGAACTGTAGAATAGAACTTAACCTAGGGGGATGGTGAAGGAAAGTCCTCCTTAATTGCGTCAAGTACACTGCCATCATGGTGTAGGCCAAGACAAGGAAAAATACAAAAAATATTCATGGCCCTGGCTGGGTAGCAGCTCAGTTGGTTAGAGTGTCATCCCAACATGCCAAGTTTGAGGGTTCGATACCCAGCCAGGACACATACAAGAGTCAACCAATAAAAGTATACTAGTAAATAAGTGGACCAATAAATTTCTCTCTCTCTCCCTCCTTCCCCTTCTCTCTCTCCTTCTCATTCCTTCCCCTCCATTCCCCTCTCCCTCCTTCCCAAATCAATTTTAAAAATTCAAAAATCCTAAGCATGAGGACAACATATGCAAAAACACGTCATAGTGGGGGAGAGGGAGAAAGAAAGAATATGTAATATTTTAGCAACAAAGAAAAAGAGTTGTACAAGATGAGGCTGGAGAACACCTTGACCCAGAGCATGCCAGAGGTCCATGGAAGCCAAGAGGCACACTGCTCATTTCCCCCAGAAAGAACTTGATGTTGGGCTGTGAGCAAGACAGTGGGCTATGAGCAGGACAGTGGGTTGGTTGTGAGCAGGGCAGTTGGCTAAGACTTTTAGGACACTGCACGACATGCCACCAAGGCCAAGCTCCTCCAGGGCAGCCTCCAGTCCCTGGCTAAGCATAGTGGAGCTGGCCCCTTCTCTACAGTGCAGGAGTCCTCTTGGAGGTCCTCCTGCTTCAGTCCTCCCACCGGATTGGCCAAGACTTTGTCAGATTTGTTTAGCAGATCATATACATCTGATTACAGTCTTCGCCAGTTTGAGGCGCTCTCTGGAGTTTGGTCTTATTCAGTGTGAGATATGCTTATTTGTTTTGAGAGTCTTTGAGTGAACGCTGTACTATGGATACTATCAATTAGACACAACAAATGAGACTCACATAATTGCATACCCAGCTTTCAACAACTTTGTAGCTCTGGGGAAATTGAAACAGTTGTGAAGATTTTTTCCCTAAGAAATTCAAAAGATCAGCTATGTCTGGATGAAGCAGATAACTCTCAATGGGCTGTGTTCAGTTTTCATTAAACAAATATTTAATTATAACAATTTATTGCTGGAAACAGCACAATACATTTGGTATAGTTTAAGCTACAACGGAGATGAGAATGTTGGCTCAATTACTTCTGTTGAGTTCCCACAGTGAACAACTTGCCATTTAAGATAGTTAACAAGCCTTTTCTCCAAAGGAAGAAAAGGATCCACTGCCTCAAATTAGTATATATATATTTGATAAACTTTTGCAAGGGAGTAAGTTTCCATTAGGGATGCCTCTCCAACACCTACCCTGTCTTGCCCACGTGTATCAGCCAGGTAGTCTGATTACGTGAACATGGATGGATCCCACTCCTTGCTCCAGCCTGAGACAACCAGGATATTCATCCTCCTTTGCCAAAACCAAGAGTGACCTAATGGATATGTCTGCCTCTTAATCCCCCTGGATGTGAAGGGGTAAACTGCTGCTAGTGGCAGCTACTGGAGACACTCAAGGAAATCAGACTAAAGACAAAGCCTGCACAGCGAAGCCAAGATCTTCAAAGAAGCAGACCTGAGCTGTGTCTGAAGGCTTCCCTTTCCTACCTGATCACTGAAGCCAGGGTGAAATGCATCTCCTGTTACTCATACTCTCAAAAGTATTCTGCCCTGGCTGGTGTGGCTAAGTGACTGAGCATGGTTCCATTTACCAGCAGGTTGCTGGTTCAATTCCCGGTAAAGGCATATGCCTGAATTTCAGGAACAACCCGCAGTGAGGGACACGCTGAAGGCAGCAGATCAATGTTTCACTCTCACATCAATGTTTCTCTCTGCCTCTCCCTTCCTCTCTCTGTAAAAATCAATAAAGTATCCTTTAAAATAATAGTAAAGTTATTTCTTTTTAAAAAATATATTTTTATTGATTTCAGAGAGGAAAGCAAAGGGAGAGCGAGATAGAACCATCAACGATGAGAGAGAATTATTGATTGGCTGCCTCCTGCACCCCTCACTGGGGATCGATCGAGCCCGCAACGGGGCATGTGCCCTGACCGGGAATCAAACCATGACCTACTGGCTCATAGGTCAATGCTCAACCACTGAGGCAAGCCAGCTGGGCTAAAGTTACTTCTTTTTTTAAAAAGTGTTCTAACACCCAAGGGTGCTTTCCTCGTTTTCTTAGTTTAAAATTACACATTTGATCGTGCATCTCAGTTTACCTGACAAAAAAAATGACAGTCAATTGTTACTGAATGCATGAGGCTCAGTTTCTTGATCCTCACTAAACATAGACTTAAAAATTTTTTGCATACCATTTCAACAAGTACCAAAAAATATTGTAAAATATAATAAAATATAAACGTGTATTAGCTAATTAGTGGGATTAACACTTGCTGCTAGGTAAAAGTCATGATTGAATACTTAAATATCCACAAATAAAAAGCAGCGGACTCTTTTCTGATTAAAAAAAGTTGCTATTCAATTTGTTTATGTGAGAGTTTGCAATGATGACCTGTGGGCCAAATCTATGCTACATTTGTTTGCTTTGCTGACAAATATTTAAACACACATAACATATATAAACAAAGAAAACATATAGCTCTGTATGGCAACAAGCAACCAGAGGTGAAAAGCAGCTTCTCACTTCAGGCTAAAAATGAGCAGCCAATTTTTTGTTGCTTTTCTTTTAGTTTATCTTTATTATTGAAAATATTACAGATATCCCTTTTTTCCCCCCAGTGATCCCCTCCACCCCACATCCCCTGCCCGCTCCTCCTCCTGCCTTTACCACACTATTGTCTGTCCATGGGTTATGCATATATGCATATAAGTTCTTTGGTTAATCTCTTCCCCTCTTCGCGCCCCTCCTCCCCCCGCCACACACACATTCCCTGAGATTCATCAGTCTGCTCCATGCTTCCCTGTCTCTGGATCTATTTTATTCATCAGTTTATTTTGTTTACTAGATTCCACATATAAGTGAGATCATGTGATACGTAACTTGCTCTGACTAGCTTATTTCACTTAGCATAATGCTCTCCAGGTCCCTCCATACTGTCTCAAAGGGTAATATATCCTTCTTTTTTACAGCCACATAGTATTCCATGGTGTAAATGTACCACAGCTTTTTTATCCACTCATCTGCTGGTGGGCACTTTGGCTATTTCCAGATCTTAGCTAGTGTAAATTGCACTGCTATGAACATAGGGGTGCATATATTCTTTCTGATTGGTGTTTTGGGGTTCTTTGGATATATTCCTAGAAGTGGGATCACTGGGTCAAATGGCAGTTCCATATTTAATTTTCTGAGGAAACTCCATACTGTTTTCAATCGTGGCTACTACACCAGTCTGCATTCCCACCAGCAGTGTGCTGGGATTTCCTCTTCTCCACATCCTCTCCAGCACTTGTTGTTGATTTATTGATGATAGCCCTTCTGACAGGTGTGAGGTGATACCTCATTTCAGCAGCAAGTTTTGATTACTTTGTACAAGGTCCCCTTCACCCATTCTGAGACCTCACCACTATGAGGTGATTGATTATGTAACCTCTGATGTAAGAGTACAGATTTATTCCATATACTGAAAAAACCTGACAGAGAATTCAAAATCCGGCACCAAAGTAAATAATGATTTCTTATTTTAGAAAGCAAATAAGGTTTTAGATGAGTGAAAACTTTCAATAGAATCTTTCACATCCTTTTACCACCAAATAGGCATATCATACCTGGAGGTCTTTTTCTTCTATCTTCTTCTGCAGCACTTGAAGGCACTTGGTGAAGTCAGTATGGTCCTGGTCAGGAGTTGAAATGAGCTCACATCCCTATGTGTTAACAGAAGACAAAAAGTGAATAAGTAACGATGTCAACCTTATGAACACCATCAAGACTATAAAAGTAACGATAAGGTATAACAGAGACATTCTATTATGTCTGTATTACATCCCGATCATTAGAATCATTGCCCTGTTATCTTCTTTATTTCACATAACAGGACATCTCAGAATAGCAAAATAAAGGTCTGATTGTGAAAATCATTTTACCAAGGAAAGGTACAGATTAGATTACATTAATGGTCTTTAAAATTCACTGCAGCAATGAAAGATGAATATAAGAACTCTGTTACAAGACTTATAAAATATATTCACAGGGAAATAAACTTGTTAAAACTATTGCTAAGAAACTTAAAATTCTTTGAGTAGACCTCCTACATTTACTTACATGAATGGAAAAAGTAATATTAATATAATGATATTACATTTTAAGTAAAATCAAGTGAGATGTCCTATAAAACTCGTTTTCTGCACCCACTTTCCTATGTAAAAAGCAGCATGAAGAGATTTGCCCGTGTGAATATGTTTCCTGGGTTATCTTCTGGACATAATGAAGTGAAGTTATAAGTTCTTTGCCTCTTGTCCAACAGATACCTCACCTAGTAAAAACCACTGAAATCTTTTCATAAATATAAAGCCACAAGAGTGACAGCTTGTTGACATCATTGAATGTAGATGACTAAAGGAAAGATATTTTTGAAATGACACATTTTCCTCCAATGTCTTATAGGGGGAAAGGTCTGTAAAACCAGAGGGAAATGGGACTTCAGACTTCTTGATTCAGGAATAAAACAATTTGAGGCCTCTGAAAAACAGTTGAGTAAGGGAAAGTTAAATAGATCTACTATATGACGGTACCATTCAAACAGTTTTCAAGGATACAAAATACCTATACTATCTCTTAAATTATTCTAAGAGCCATTCTCAGTCGATTTAAAGGTTCTTCTTTAACTTCAAGGTTTCTTTAAATGTGGCAAGCTCAACCTATGCTTTTTTCATTTATGACTGCCCTACCATGTGGTGACCAATGAAAAAATTACTTTCTCATCATTTAGAAACGTATTAGGCTTTAGAAGATGTATATGCCATCTTTAAAAGATCATCGACATGTACTTTCCTGACCCTAAAAGAACACTGAGCCTGGCTGGTTTGGCTCAATGGTTGAGTGTCGACCTATGAACCAGGAGGTCCTGTTTTAATTCCCGGTCAGGGCACACACCTAAGTTGTAGGCTTGATGCCCAGTGTGGGGCGTACAGGAGGCAGCTAATCAATAATTCTCCCTCATCATTTATGTTTCTCTCTCTCTCTCTCCCTCTCCTTTCCTCTCTGAAATCAATAAAGGTATATATTTTTTAAAATAACACTAAAATTACTAAGCAAGGGCATAAACAACTGGACTGGTCTCAGGCTAACACTCGTATAAAAGAAGATATAAGGCGACACCAAAGCATACAGGAATATGATCAGGGCTGAGGGCACTGGATTGTCACCAAAGCAAAAATCGCTTTTCTGCAAGTTCCCTGAGGACAAGAATTATGTTTCACTCATTATTGTTTAACTGCCTGGCACCAGTTTGCTACATAGTACATAGTCAATAAATGTTTAAATATTCTTGAGGGAAAAAAATGTATGCTAGCAAAGGGACAGGAGAATGTGGCATCTTATTGCTAAATATAGCGTATGCCACAATGGAAAAGTTTTTTTAAATGCTGACAATAGAAACCATTACTACAGTAAAAGGAAACAAAATTAAAAAAGCAAATAGAAATAGCAAAATAAGAGATGATTAATAGATGGTTGTCTACCTTAAAGTTATCTTCACAGAATCAACAATATTCACAAGAAAACTTATAGCTAAAGAGAACCCAAAAAAATAATCTTTCTAATGCCATTATAACATTATGGAGACTAAGAAAATAAAAACAAAATAAGAGATTTAAACTGACTTGTTAACCATTGGACAACAAAGTAAGCAGCAGTATTGATGTCACATTTATAAATCCTTTTTTTTTTAATCCTATGAAATGGGAACAAATTCCTAGAAATCTAATAGAAAAAGGTCATATAACATCTCTAGAGTTGGTTCTGCAGGAATGGTATTATAAATAAAACTGCTTGAAATATACGAGCAAGGCTTCAATAACATCTTACTTTATTTCAAAAGTTTTTAGTCTCCTCAGGTTTAGAGAATGTGTGTTAAGATGGACACACAGAAAAGTTTAAGTCAGGACACAGAGAAGATTACCAGTACTGAATAGTTAGTTAGATTATAAACCAAGAACCTCTAGAAACTCTACTTGGGGTATTTATCAGCCATCCACAGCTTCTTGGAATTTCATGAGTTTAAATGATTCTAATCTTATCACAGGTTGACAAGGAATTCATCAGAAGCAGAAACAGCTTCTAGCCTGACCGGGTGAGCTTCCAACACCTAGAAAGGAGGCCTATGAAATAAAGTGCCACAATAGACCTTTAGCTAAATATGATGTTCTCACTGTTTTCTGGGTCTTATGATAACATATTAAGATCTAATAGAAAAGAAATATAAAGCTAAATTGATAAACTATCAAAACCCTGCAGAGAAGGAAAAATGTAGAAATGGTTGCTAATAGATATTAAGCAATGCTCAACTATTATACATTAACTAGAGGCCCGGTGCATGAATTCATACATAGGTGGGGTCCCTCGGGATAGCCTGTTTGATTGGTAGTGTGGGCATTTGAAATATCTATTGACCTTGGGGCTAAGCAACATTCTCTAAAATCTACAATACACTGCAATGAGAGAAACCTATTGAGAAAACTATTGATTGATTACATCAGCTTATCCTCAGTAAAGTGTAACTAAAGAACAAAAACTTGCAGTGTTGATATCATATGATAGAAAATATGTAATAAAATTGATGTAATTTGCAATGATCAAGAAAACATCATGAGTTCATATTAAGATGATAGCTGCACTAAGGTCCAGGAGAACCAGTTTAAAAGCAAATATTAAAGGTACAGAAAGATTTAGAAAGTTACAAATAAGGAAAATTAATCCTACTGTCAACATAATAATTCATCAAACCTGAGGAGACTAAAAACTAAAAAGAAGCAAACTGGCCGCTTTGGGAGCAAATTAACCAAAGAAGTGGAACAAATTACACACACACACATCCATGGGCAAAACCTCATGTCTGGCAAATCCTTTGCTGCTCCTTTGGGAACACAGGCTCTTTAGTCAGGACTAGACTCAATGCCCCTGAGCACAGGGAAACTGACTTATGAAAGTCAGTTGCTAGGACAGTGCGGGTACATTATCAAGCAGTCAGTAGAAGTTTGATGGATAGAGAAATAATGGATGGGTTAAAACCACTTCTTTCCTCATAAGACTAATGGTATGTTTCACTAAAATATAAATCTAGATAAACTAAATAGTGAATCCAACAAAGAAAAAGCAATATTGATGTTATTATTTTTTCAGGTATTACACTTCCATTACCATGAGTTAATTATGTAACACATTTGTTTTAGGGCACCATTGATACAGATTCTTAAAATGGTGACAGATATTAGTTCTTCATATGCAATTTAGTAGTTTAAAATAGAACAATACGTTAATGTTAGCAAAGTTACCATCCAGGCAGGGAAAGTGAAACACAAATGTACACATGCAGCAGTATAAAGTGTTACACAAATAATTCAGAACATTCTGAATAAGTTGTAATGTATTTAATAGATAGACAAATGACAAGGAAACAAGCTGTTATCAGGAATTTGGTAAAAATTTAGCAATCAATGGTTTTCAGAACATGCCCTGGAAAGATATTAGCTCAGCTCAATTTCCAATACTGCTGACATCTATAGCTATAGAAAACACAAACATACCTAATCGTAATATGTGACCCTAATCAAGATAAGGTCACAAATTAGTTCAAAGGGATGGTTTTGCCCAGTGTGGTTTATTTACACACTAGAGGCCTGGTGCATGAAATCTGTGCATGGGACGGGAGGTGTCCCTCAGCCTGGACTGCACCCTCTCACAATCCGGGACATCCCTCTCACAATCTGGGACAGCTGACTCCTAACTGTTCGCCTGCCTGCCTGATGCCCCTAACTGTTCGCCTGCCTGCTTGATCGCTCCTAACCACTCTTCCTGCCTTCCTGGTGCCCCTAACTGTTCGCCTGCCTGCCTAATTGCCCCTAACTGTTCGCCTGCCTGCTTGATCGCTCCTAACCACTCTTCCTGCCTGCCTGGTGCCCCTAACTGTTTGCCTGCCTGCCTGATTGCCCCTAACTGCTCGCCTACCTGCCTGATCGCTCCAACCACTCTGCCTGCCTGCCTGATCACCCCTAACTGCTCTCCAGCCTGCCTAATTGCCCCTAACCGCCTCTGTCTTGGCCCCCGCCACTACAGCTTCGTCTGAAGGACATCTGGAATGACGTCCAGAAGGTTGTTTGGCTGTCTGGTCTAATTAGCATGTTACGCTTTTATTATTATAGATTTTAAAAGAAAATAGTTTCAAGCAATAAGGGTTATGATAAATGCTAAAATTAAATAATTTTACTACTAGATGAACTAAACAACTTAATTATATAAATTATTAATAGTCTACCTTATGAATAAGGAAATATTAGACTGACCAAATAATTTATTATAGGAATTTATTAAATCAACCTTATGGTTATTAACATATTAATCAAAGTTTCAGCTTTAAGCACATCCCACTGTGTCTCTGTTCACTACTGCGTACCCAGTGGCAAGGAGTAAGCATTCAGTAATGAACAGAGTCATTTACAAAGTCTTGAGATACACAGATCAGGGATCAGCAATGTTTTTCTGTAAAAGGTCAAACAGTAATTCTTTTACTTATTTATTTTTTAAAATATATTTTTATTGATTCAGAGAGGAAGAAGAGGGAGAGAGAGAGAGAAACATCAATGATGAGAGAGAATCATTGATTGGCTGCCTCCTGCACGTCCCCTGTTGGGGAATCGAGCCCACAACC